CCCCCGCTTCTCACACAGCTGTTTACGGGCCGAGGAGGTTGTTAGCTGGTGCTTTTTCTCTCGGTTTTCCATCCCGAACAGCTTCCCCTCGGCTCTTATTCGATAACCGGACTTTACTTCTGTCCGTCTCCGGTCAGGATTCCCTCAAAGAAAATCTGGGTCCCGGTGGTCCTGCTGCCAGTGGTCTCAGCTGTTCGGGCTCTGGAGAACATCGGGCCCTCCCAGCTGTCCGTTTCCGTCCAAAAAAAAACCCCCTCCTTCTGGGCTCACCACAGGCTGTCTAACCCCTGCTAGCTCTGACAGCATCTGTCAGTGTCATTCACTCAGCCGCTTTTTGATGTCTGACCTTTTAAGAAGGGGGAATGCGCTAGAACCATAAATGCTGTTTGTTTTTTACTATCGTTCTCCATTCTTCGATTGCTACAAGGGGAATATTATCGCTCGGGATGAGTGTAAATATCTCTCTGTAGATAGCTCAGGGTTTATAGTCCAACGGTATATCTAACATGGAGGGCGATAACGGATAAAGTACCTGCAGCATCACTTCTTGTTGACCTTTTCCTGGGAGATTGGAAACCAAGAAACACACGCTCGCTCTAGAGTGCAGACAACATCACACCTTCCCCGTTCTCATTAGATGCCCGCGCTGATCCGGGGGCTCTGCTCCCCGCATGGGGGGAAGTCGTTTGTCAAAGGCAGATCCCCCCTCTGGGAGCTCTGCAGGATTCGGGGGGTTTCCTAGAATTACACTCATTCATGACCACTGAAAGCATCTAGAGGAGAGAGAGGAAAAAAAAAAAAAGAGAAAAAAAAGCTGCTTCTCACTTCCATTCAGCAGCCCCCCGGCCCCTAATCTCTGCTGGACGAGCCCACAATGAGAAAGAAACGCTGGCACCCACATCAAGCCCCGGCCCCGGCCATAAAGGGCGCGGCCACAATGGAGAACATTTCATGGTGCACGGGCAGCTTCGTCCGAGCAAGCTGTGGGACACTTAAACTTCACTTCAGATACTTTAGATGTTTTTAAAACACATTCCTCTATGTTGGATCATCACAATGACCTTCTGGCAGATTTATGGACAGTTTCTAGTGGTTGTTTCTAGTATTATTTTTCAACCATACACAGTCATGTTTAACTGAAGTGATGCTCAATAGCAGTGTCCCACATAAGATGTGATCAATACCTTTTCAGTAGGTTTTTATGGCCTTCATTCCAACCTTTCAGCTCCCAAAACGACTGTTTAACATCTCAAGAAAGCTCCATGTTTTATTGACTGCAGTGAAAGGTATTACGAGTCGGTATGGAATGAATATTTGATTTAAATTCTCATGGCCTTTTTAATAGATTGCAAAATTTAAGCATTTAGGCCTGAAACTGAAGGAAAAATCTCTGTTTTTTTTTTTTTTACTGGCAAAGCCTGAGCTGATCCACTGGCAGGAATTCAGGCTCTAAGAAAAGCTGCTCTATCTTAACCTCTGAGCAAAGGCGCGGGTTTCATCTGACCTTTGGAGGGCCTCCTTATGCCGGCGGGTCTCCTACTATTTAATTTTGGGTGCGCAACCCTCCGCTTGCTTAATCCTGATTAATTTTCGTACGCCACTTTGAACACTCTTGGGATCTACTTATGAAGTTTAAGATATTATGAAAAGCAGGGCAGGGCAGGGAGGATGTCTGATCTCTGGTTGATCATATTTCACGAAATTCGTTTCAACCATACAGAGTCATCATGTAGATGAACAGGTATATCACATCGTATTCTGGTGTGATCTTATAAGATTAGGCAAAACTAAAACCAAAAAAAGGCTTTTGAGTTGATAACACAATGGCAATATGATTTCCTACTGAGTTGAACAAATCAGGCCTCCAAACATGAACTAAATGAACTGAAAGTAGAATAAATAGAAACAAAAGAAGGCACTGAATTAAGAAAACATTTTTCCAAACTACACAGGTATGCCCTAACATCACGTTATAGAGTCCCATTAATGGTCCTGACAGCTATAAGATATCATATTATGATGTTAAACGCAGCCAGGGAGCACTTCAGGCTCACCATAACTGATCTTGAGAAAAAACCTGAGCTCATTTTCTCTTTCTGGTGTCAAGAAAACAACAGGATGATGTCTTAATAGAATGAGAGTAATTAGCTTTTCATCGCCACAGAACTGGGCTCTGTTGTCTGGGGATAACTGAATAATTAACATTTGATCTTGAGATAAGGGCAGCACAATCAATAACTGTAGGCAAACATCTCAGGATATTTGTTTGGATTCTGTTCATGTGATCATTCTTTGTCCCATTATTGGGTCATTTTGCTTTCTAAAACGTAGTCTGCTCTTGCTGATCCACGTAATCTTTAATAGGATCAGTGAGAGAAACACCAGCAAAGGGAGAGGCGCATTTCTTGGCACTTTTACGTCAGAGCGTTGGTTACATAATGAGCTGAATTATTAGACATTTGGGGGACAGCCTGCGGGACATCTGCGTTGGTAAAGCGAGAGTCTGCACACACGACCCGGTGAACGACAACCAGCTGCTCATCCCTCGCTCACACCTGCTGGAAAACCACACAGAACTACAAAATGTATCTGTTCTCCAGCTCAGTGCACCAGAATCGGGGGCACAGCCTTTTCTCTTTTTAAAAATCTGAAATCAAAACATTCGAACAAAGCCAATCGGACGGTTTTTTTGGGGGGAACGGCCGTGGCCCTCGGAGCCGGTGGTGCTCTCCTCCACTGGTGTTGCTAGGCGACAGCGGGTCTGAAATCTGGCTGGGACCAGACGCACCTGCTCCTCCAGGCCTGGCAACTCAGCGTCTGCACAATCAACACATGAGAGGACAAGCTGCACCGATCTGAGGGGAGTTTCCCCGTTTCTATGTCCCGCTTCGATAACCGGGCTGAGCCGGGTGCCTGCGTGTGTGTGTGTGTGTGTGTGTGTGTGTGTGTGTGTGTGCAGGTGTTTTTGATCTTCACCCACCCTGTGCTACTCTTCAAAACAAACAGAGCAAAAAACACAGTGTCCTTTCTCCATCTTTTTCAAATCAATAAAGGACAAAGGCGAGTCGAAGTCTCAGTGTTTCTGTTTACGCAAAACAGAGGAAGACACAATTATGGAAAAAAAGACACATTTCAGTAATGTTTCTATTAGAATTCACTTGCTATGTGACAGATAAAATCATACTCTATTGTAAGTGGGCAAACCTGCAAAATCAGCAAGGGGTCAAATACTTATTTCCCCCTATGTACATGAGTCGTGGTGGTGATTTACAGTAAGACAAACAGTATAACTTTTTATATATTATTCTTTTTTGTATTCATCAAAAATACTTTTCTTATATTCTTTTTTTAATTGCTGCATGCTATTACATTGTTTAACATTTTAAGGCAAACCCCACTGAAAAAGGGACTGAAGAAGAAAGCGAAAGGCAAACAGAGCTCTGTGCACCTTGTGAGGATGAAACCAGACCTTCCACACCCCTTTTTCTGGTCCCTCCGTGCTGCTATGTGTGTCAAACGGCCATTTTTTTTCTCCCGCGGCTGCTCTGTGCACGTGTCAGACTGGAGCGCCTCCAGCTCCGGTCTCTGGAAGATGATCAGCTGGGGCACGGCGGGGGGGGGGGGGGGGGGGGCACCAGGCCTCCAATAAACACCTCCGTAGCCGCACGCCGACCTGCTGGGCGGCGGAGTGTTAATTGTGCTGTGGGTCATTAGGCTGATCACAGGCATATTTCAGACCCTTTTTTTGGGCTTTGACCTTCCGCTGGGCTCCCCGGGTAACGCCGGGGCTCCGGGTGCCAGCATCAAACTGGCTGCTGTGGGCTGCCAAGCTAAAATTATCACGTTCCCCCATTAATAATGATGAGGACGAGTGACCCAGTGGCCTTGTTATCTGACATTTCTAGTTAAAACTTCTGTAAATAGTTTGCCTTTGAATAAGTTTGCTGCGGATGCTTTGAAACACAGAAACTTGCTTCAGCTTCCTGCAGATGCTTCTAATTCATTCTTATAACTGGAATTGCTTGTAAAATGGAAAGAAAAAGCACTGTTTGTAATGGTTGTTGGTTTTGAACTAGCCGAGTCTATTTTAAATGTGATATTTTTCTTTTTTTTCCTTCCAAATACAGGCAATTTCCCACAGTTTAGAGTACTCTAACCACACCTGTGAGCTTTCATCTATTCCACCTCTGATTTCCTTGCTGCGGAAAATGTTTCCTTTTTTGTTAAAGGAACATTCATTTTGCTTGACAGAATTGTCTTTTTCATTTTATCACGTTCGGCATGCTTTGTTACGACCTGCCTCCCCGGGTGTGTAGCTTTGTGCAACACGCAAGACTTGCTGAGCTACACTGAAACCAGATCTTTTTCAAATCAATATCTCCCCCTCTGTATATAAAGAAACATCTTGTTGGAGAACTGATACATAAAAAAAATCATTCTGCCTGTCCAGTGAATGGAGAGAGAAGCATTTTGAACATATCTGATTATCTTTTTGCCAAAAAGGTGTACATGTAAATAGCAGTTAGTAATGGTTTTAATCTTCATCTTATTGTGGTCAGATGTTTAAACTATGAAATGGCTTCTCCCTTTTTGTGGTTTCGTCCCTGTTCCAGCTGCTATCGGCTCAGAGGAAGAGCTCTCCTTTAGCAGGTCTCCAGTCCATCACAGAAATGAGCAGCCATTACACAGACTCCTCCATTGATCAGTTTAACAGGCCTGGGCTTGGACACGGAGGGAGTGGACGCCCTGAGATGAACCCAAGTGTGTTTAGAGAGGCTAACAGGCTAATTCCAGGCTGAGACTGGACCCGGGAATCTTCATGTCCTAGCTACAAAATCCACTGATCAGAGGCAAAACACAAGACACAAGAAGAAGAAGCATGGCTCAAAAGTAAGAAAATATAAATGTTTACTCATTTCTGAACACAATTGAACATTTTTGACAGTAGTCTTGAATAAAAGTGCTTTGAAATTGTGGCGTTTTTTAAAAAAGATGACCCGATTCATCTTGGGATTTCACTGCCTGAAACCAAAACTAAACTAAAAAACCAAAAAAGCGACCCGTTTTCATTGGCCGAGGCACAATTTCATGCACTCACAGATCTGAGTAGGAAAGAGCAGAACCTCCCCCATCCACACCCCCATTCAGAGAAAGTAGATTGGAGGCATTTTATGACCCCTTTACCTCATGGAGACCCCACCTCTGGAAGCCATCAGTGAGATTTATGGGCTTACTCAGGTCAATGGGCAGCTCCATTTAAGACGACTATACAGTAAGACTTTAGGGGGGGCAGG